CAGGAAAGCCAGATTAGAGTTTGCCAAACAACATCTAAAACGCATTAACAGTTCTGGAACAACATCCTATGGACAGATGAGACCAAGATCAACTTGTACCAGAGTGATGGGAAGAGAAGAGTATGGAGAAGGAAAAGAACTGCTCATGATCCAAAGCATACCACCTCATCAGTGAAGCATGGTGGTGGTAGTGTCATGGCATTAGGCTGCTAATGGAACTGGTTCTCTTGTATTTATTGATGATGTGACTGCTGACAAAAGCAGCAGAATGAATCATGAAGTGTTTTGGGCAATATTATCTGCTCATATTCAGCAAAATGCTTCAGAACTCATTGGACGGCGCTTCACAGTGCAGATGGACAATGACCCGAAGCATACTGCAAAAGCAACCAAAGAGTTTTTTAAGGGAAAGAAGTGGAATGTTATGCAATGGCCAAGTCAATCACCTGACCTGAATCCGATTGAGCATGCATTTCACTTGATGAAGACAAAACTGAAGGGAAAATGCCTCAAGAACAAGCAGGAACTGAAGACAGTTGCAGTAGAGGCCTGGCAGAGCATCACCAGGGATAAGACCCAGCGTCTGGTGATGTCTATGCGTTCCAGACTTCAGGCTGTAATTGACTGAAAGGATTTGCCACCATGTATTAAAAAGTGCAAGTTTGATTTATGACTGTTAATCTGTCCCATTACTTTTGGTCCCTTAAAAAGTGGGAGGCACATATTCAATCTGTTGTAATTCCTACACCGTTCACCTGATTTGGAAGTAAATACCCTCAAATTAAAGCTGAAAGTCTGCAGTTTAAGCACATCTTGTTTGTTTCATTGTTTCAAACCCATTGTGTTGGTGTATAGAGCCAAAAAGATTAGAATTGTGTCGATGTCCCAATATTTATGGACCTGACTGTAGATGCTTTAGTGTAGCTCTTCACTGGATCAGTCTGTACCAGCATGTCTTTTTTTTTTTTTATTCTTTATTTTGTTGTGCATTATTATTCAATCACATGGTATCAAGAACATGTCATTGTATGACTTTAGAACATCAAAAATGCAAGTATTTTTCTTCAAACATGTCAGATGCACTGTCTAACGTGCGGGTTACTTATATAACAGTCTAATGTATAACAAGGCATACAGTGAGGCATATATGGTAAACAAAGATTATAGTTTTTCCTTGCTAGTGGACTGTTTGTCCTAAGCTGAGGTGTTGGTCTTAGGGAGCTTTGTCAGTTGAGGGGGTGTGGGTTTGGAGCGTGTGCTCCCGCTCGGTGTATCCGGTTAGCCTCTCATACAGCTATGTGTTGGTGTGGGGTCTACTTTTCCTGGATGGATGACTCCCAGTCTAGGGGCTCCCGGGTAGTGTGTGTGTGTCTATTCTTGTATTAATGGGCAGGTGTTGGGAGGCGCTTTGGTGTGGCGATGTGGGGTCCAGTGTTGAGGCGTCTAGCCAGTGGCGTACATACCGGGGTCGTGGCTGCGACCAGGCCTGGCCCATCAGGGGGCCCGGCCGCCCTACGACCCGGTATGTACCCACTGTGGCCAGCCTCTTCTCCTGGGGGGCCCAGGAGCCAGCTACCTCAGGGCCCCCCGAGGCTGGCCCTGGTATCACCGGGAGGGCAAGCTGGCAGGCACAGGAGGGAGCACTCTTCCCTGTATGCTCCTTCTTCAGCTCCCTCGCTACTGGATACTGGAGCCGGAATATGATGTCATCTTCCGGCTCCTGCATCAGGGCGGTGCGCGAGGGAGCTGAAGAGGGCGCACACAGGGGACAGTGCTCCCGCGCATGCGCCCAGTGACCAGCCGCCCAGGAGCCCAGCAGCACCACTGGACCCCAGGGAATCCCCTCAGCACTCCAAAAGGTAAGGAGGCTGGTGGATTACATTTAAAAAAAAAACACGTGGGTACGTGTGTTAGTGTGTGTGTTGGTGTATGTGTGTGTGCAGGGGCGGACTGAGAGCCTTTGGGGACCCCGGGCAAAATTAGATCCCAGGCCCTTTGAAGGCCAAATATACGTGCATTAAATAAATGTTAGATATAACTAATAATACGGCATTCGTTTGGATGTGTATATTGTGAAGATCTGTGTATCAATGCATGTTTGTATTTGAGTCTGTGTGAATGCACTTGTGCATGTCTGGATGACAGGATGTGCTTTTTTGTTTATAGTGTCTGTGTGAATGCATATGTGACAGGTGACAGAGTGTATGAGGGAGAAGGTGACAGGTGGAATAGTGTCGGAGGTTGTGACTGGTGGCAGAGTGAGGGGGTACCTGGTGGTAGAGTGAGGGAAGGAGGGGTTGAGTGGTGGCAGAGTGAGGGGGAGACACAGTGAGTGGGGGTGACTGGTGACAGAGGGAGGGAGAGGGGGTGACTAGTGACAGAGTTAGGGAATGGGTGACTAGTGGCAGAGTGGGGGAGGGAGGGAAGAGATGACTCCCAGTCTAGTCACTAGAGGTGACTAGTGACAGAGTGAGGGGATGACTGGTGACAGAGTGAGGGGATGACTGGTGACAGAGGGAGGGAGTGACTAGTGACAGAGGGAGGGAGTGACTAGTGATGGAGGGAGGTAGTGACTAGTGACAGAGTGAGGGAGGGGGTGACTGTCACTAGTCACCCCATCCCTCTCTCTGTCACTAGTCACTCCCTCCCTAACTCTGTCACTGTGTCACCCACTTCCTCACTCTGTCACTGGTCACCCCCTCTGTCCCTAGTCACCCCCTTCCTCACTCTGTCACTAGACAACCCATCCCTCTCTCTGTCACTAGTCACAACCTCCCTAACTCTGTCACTGTGAAGGAAGGAAGGGGTGATTGGTGACAGAGTGAGGGGATGACTAGTGGCAGAGTGAGGGAAGGAAGGAATGACTGGTGACAGAGTGAGAGAGGGAATGGGGGACTAGTGACAGAGTGAGGAAGGGGGTGACACAGTGACAGATTGAGGAAGGGGGTGACACAGTGATAGAGTGAGGGAGGGGGTGACTAGTGACAGAGTGAAGGAGGTGGTGACTGTCACTAGTCACCCCATCCCTCCCTGTGTCACTAATCACCACCTCCCTCACTCTGTCACTAGTCACCCCCTCCCTCTCTCTGTCACTAGTCACACCCTCCCTCACTCTGTCACTAGTCACACCCTTCCTCACTGTCACTAGTCACACCCTCCCTCACTCTGTCACTAGAGTGAGGGGGTGACTAGTGGCAGAGTGAGGGGGTGACTAGTGGCAGAGTGAGGTAAGGAAGGGGTTACTAGTGACAGAATGAGGGGATGACTGGTGACAAAGTGAGGGAGGGAGTGGGTGACCAGTGACAGAGGGAGGGAGGGGTGACCAGTGACAGAGGGAGGTGGTGACACAGTGAGGGAGGGGGTGACTAGTGACAGAGTGAGGGAGGTGGTGACTGTCACTAGTCACCACCTCCCTCACTCTGTCCCTAGTCACCCCTCCCTATGTCACTAGTCACCCCCTTCCTCACTCTGTCACTAGTCACCCCTTCCCTCCCTAACTCTGTCACTAGTCACCCCCTCCCTCACTCTATCACTAGAGTGAGGTGGTGACTAGTGGCAGAGTGAGGGAGGTGGTGACTGTCACTAGTCACCACCTCCCTCACTCTGTCACTACTCCCTCCCTCCTTCTGTCACTAGTCACCCCCTCCGTCCCTTACTCTGTCACTAGTCACCCCCTCCCTCTCTCTGTCACTAGTCACACCGTCCCTCACTCTGTCACTAGTCACACCGTCCCTTACTCTATCACTAGAGTGAGGGGGTGACAGGTGACAGAGTAAGGGAAGGGGTGACTAGTGGCAGAGTGAGGGAGGTGGTGACTGTCACTAGTCACCACCTCCCTCACTTTGTCCCTAGTCACTCCTCCCTCTGTCACTAGTCACCCCCTTCCTCACTGTCACTAGTCACCCCCTCCCTCTCTGTGTCACTAGTCACACCCTCCCTCACTCTGTCACTAGAGTGAGGGGGTGACAGGTGACAGAGTGAGGGAAGGGGTGACTAGTGGCAGAGTGAGGGAAGGAAGGGGTGACTAGTGACAGAGTGAGGGGATGACTGGTGACAGAGTGAGGGAGGGGGTGACTAGTGACAGTGAGGGAGGTGGTGACTGTCACTAGTCACCCCCTCCCTCACTCTGTCCCTAGTCACCCCTCCCTCTGTCACTAGTCACCCCCTTCCTCACTCTGTCACTAGTCACCACTTCCCTCCCTCACTCTGTCACTAGTCACCGCCTCCCTCACTCTGTCACTAGAGTGAGGGGGTGACTAGTGACAGAGTGAGGGAAGGGGTGACTAGTAGCAGAGTGAGGAAAGGAAGGGGTGACTAGTGACAGAGTGAGGGAGGTGGTGACTGTCACTAGAGTAAGTCACAGAGTAAGGGACGGAGGGGGTGACTAGTGACAGAAGGAGGGAGGGAGTAGTGACAGAGTGAGGGAGGTGGTGACTAGTGACAGAGTGAGGGAGGTGGTGACTAGTGACAGTCACCACCTCCCTCACTCTGCCACTAGTCACCACCTCACTCTAGTGATAGAGTGAGGGAGGGGGTGACTAGTGACAGAGTTAGGGAGGGAAGGGGTGACTAGTGACAGAGTGAGGAAGGGGGTGACTAGTGACAGAGGGAGGGGTGACTGGGGACAGAGTGACTGGGGACTAGTGACAGTCACCACCTCCCTCACTCTGTCACTAGTCACCCCCTCCCTCACTGTGTCACCCCCTCCCTCTGTCACTGGTCACCCCTCCCTCCCTCTGTCACGGGTCACCCACTCCCTCCCTCACTCTGTCACTAGTCACCACCTCCCTCTCTCACTCTGTCACTAGTCACCACCTCCCTCTGTCACTACTCCCTCCCTCCTTCTGTCACTAGTCACCCCCTCTGTCCGTTACTCTGTCACTAGTCACCCCCTAACTCACTCTGTCACTAGTCATCCCCCTAACTCACTCTGTCACCAGTCATCCGCTCACTCTGTCACCAGTCATCCGCTCACTCTGTCACCAGTCATCCCTTCCTTCCCTCACTCTGCCACTAGTCACCCCTTCCCTCACTCTGTCACCAGTCATTCCCTCACTCTAGTGACAGAGTGAGGGAGGGTGTGACTAGTGACAGAGTGAGGGAGAGGGTGACTAGTGACAGAGTGAGGGAGTAATTAGTGACAGAGTGAGGGAGAGGGTGACTAGTGACAGAGTGAGGGAGGTGGTGACTGTCACTAGTCACCCCATCCCTCCCTCTGTCACTAGTCACAAGTCATCCCCTCACTCTGTCACTAGTCACCCCCTCCCTCTGTCACTGTGTCACCCCATCCCTCCCTATGTCACTAGTCATCCCCTCCCTTACTCTGTCACTAGTCACCCCGTCCCTCACTCAGTCACTAGTCACCCCTAGCTCACTCTGTCACCCTCTCCCTCACTCTGTCACTAGTCACCCCCTCCCTCACTCTGTCACTAGTCACCCCCTCCCTCACTCTGTCACCAGTCATCCGCTCACTCTGTCACCAGTCATCCCTTCCTTCCCTCACTCTGCCACTAGTCACCCCTTCCCTCACTCTGTCACCAGTCATTCCCTCACTCTAGTGACAGAGTGAGGGAGGGTGTGACTAGTGACAGAGTGAGGGAGAGGGTGACTAGTGACAGAGTGAGGGAGTGATTAGTGACAGAGTGAGGGAGGGGTGACTAGTGACAGGGGGTGACTAGTGACAGAATGAGGGAGAGGGTGACTAGTGACAGAGGGAGATGGTGACTAGTGACAGAGTGAGGGAGGTGGTGACTGTCACTAGTCACCCCATCCCTCCCTCTGTCACTAGTCACTAGTCATCCCCTCACTCTGTCACTAGTCACCCACTCCCGCACTCTGTCACTAGTCACCCCCTCCCTCTGTCACTGTGTCACCCCATCCCTCCCTATGTCACTAGTCATCCCCTCCCTTACTCTGTCACTAGTCACCCTGTCCCTCACTCAGTCACTAGTCACCCCCTAGCTCACTCTGTCACCCTCTCCCTCACTCTGTCACTAGTCACCCCCTCCCTCACTCTGTCACTAGTCACCCCCTCCCTCACTCTGTCACTAGTCACCCTCTCCCTCACTCTGTCACTAGAGTGAGTGGGTGACTAGTGACAGAGTGAGGGAGGGTGTGACTAGTGACAGAGAGAGGGAGGGGGTGACTAGTGACAGAGAGAGGGAAGGGGTGACTAGTGACAGAGTGAGGGAGGTGGTGATTAGTGACACAGGGAGGGATGGGGTGACTAGTGACAGTCACCACCTCCTTTACTCTGTCACTAGTCACCCCCTCCCTCACTCTATCACTGTGTCACCCCCTTCCTCACTCTGTCACTGGTCATCCCCTCCCTCACTCTGTCACTAGTCACCCACTCACTCTAGTGACAGAGTGAGGGAGAGGGTGACTAGTGACAGAGTGAGGGAGGGTGTGACTAGTGACAGAGTGAGGGAGAGGGTGACTAGTGACAGAGTGAGGGAGAGGGTGACTAGTGACAGAGTGAGGGACAGGGTGACTAGTGACAGAGTGAGGGAGAGGGTGACAGAGTGAGGGAGGGGGTGACTAGTGACAGAGTGAGGGACACGGTGACTAGTAACAGAGTGAGCGAGAGAAGGGGTGACTAGTGACAGAGTGAGGGAGGGGGTTACTAGTGACACAGTGGGGGGGTGACTAGTGACAGAGTGAGGGAGGGGGTTACTAGTGACACAGTGGGGGGGTGACTAGTGACACAGTGAGGAGGGGTGACTAGTGACACAGTGAAGGGGGTGACTAGTGACAGTGAGGGGGGTGACTAGTGACAGTGACGGGGGGTGACTAGTGACAGTGAGGGGGGGTGACTAGTGACAGTGAGGGGGGGTGATTAGTGACAGTGAAGGGGGGGTGACTAGTGCTTCCTCTTCTCTCCCAGGCTGCTGCTCCTTCCCCTCGCTGGGCTCTGTGTGAGAGGAGTAAACATGAAGTGAGGTCACTTCCTAGCCCCGCCTCTCCCATCACACAGAGCACCGCGTTGGACAAGGAGAAGGAGACCTGGCAGAGAGCTGGTGAAGCTGCCAGGCCTCATGGTGGGAGGAAGGAGGGGTGGATTTAGAGAGCGGTAGGTTGTGGGGCCCCGCGCTGCATCAGGGGCCCCACAACCTATCAAAAAGCTTTATTTTTTTGCCGTTCCAGTTGGAGAGATCTCTGATCTCTCCAGCTGGAGCATGGCTGTGCGGCCGGGCCCCTGACTACCTCGGGCCCTCGGTCCATGACCTAAGTGCCCGAGTGGTCAGTCCGCCCCTGTGTGTGTGTTAGTGTTAGAGTGTGTGTCTGTTATTGAATGTGTGTCTGCTAGTGAGTGTGTTACTGTGTGTCTGTTACTGAGTGTGTTTGTGTGTGTCTGTTAGTGAGTCTGTTTGATGTATGTTAGTGTGTGTTTGTCAGTCAGAGTGAATGTTTTGTGAGTGTGTATGTATGTCTGTCGCTGAGTGTGTCTGTCAGTAAATGTGTGTGAAACTTAAGAAAAGGACCTCCAAGGTGGTATTCTCTGAGATATTACCTGTGCCACGCGCTACAGTGGAAAGGCAGCGGGAGATTAGAGAGGTCAATGCGTGGCTTAAGTCTTGGTGTAGGAAGGAGGGTTTTGGGTTTTTAGAGCACTGGGCCGACTTTGCGATTTGGTACAACCTTTATAGTGGTGATGGATTGCACCTAAACGGGAGAGGGTCTGCAGTGCTTGGGGATAGGATGGCTAGAAGGTTGGAGGAGATTTTAAACTAGTAGTAGGGGGGGAGGGTCATAGCAATCTACAAAATGGAGATACGACAGAAATGAGATGGGCTTTAGCACAGTATAAGGGGGGTGGAAACGGGGGGAGGGGCAAGCTCAGAACAGAGAAGCTGTGTAATGTTGAAAATTCACAAAATATACAAGTGACGCATAGTATTAAATGTATGCTTACTAATGCAAGAAGCCTAAATAACAAAATGGGGGAACTAGAGGCATTAGCATACACTAAACAATATGTTATAATAGGCATAACTGAAACATGGTGGGATGAGACACATGACTGGGCAGCTAACTTAAATGGGTACATGTTATTTAGGAAGGATAGGAAAAACAAGAAGGGTGGTGGTATGTCAAACATGATTTAAAGCCAAATGTTAAGCAAATGGAATGCGAGGAGGATAATGTGGAAGCTTTATGGGTAAATATCTGCTTGGGGGAAAAGAAGGGAAACCAACTATTGGTTGGGATATGTTATAAACCACCTAATGTTAATATTGACGAGGAACAACAGCTGTTTGAGCAAATTGAGAAAGCTGCAAATCTGGGTAACACTTTAATTATTGGAGATTTTAATTACCCGGATATAAATTGGGACAGAGGGACTAGTGCCTCAGCAAAGGGAATTAGGTTTTTAAACTTGTTAAATGACACCTTCATGTCACAACTTGTACAAGCACCAACTAGAATGGATGCTTGTCTGGACCTGGTTTTAACAAACAACGCTGATCTTTTGACCAACATTCAAGTAGGTGAGCACTTGGGAAATAGTGATCACAATATAGTGTCCTTTGAAATAAACTCAAAAAAACAAAAGCACATGGGGAATACTAAAACATATAATTTTAAAAAGGCCAATTTCAATAAGTTAAGGGAAGCTTTACAATATATTGACTGGCATAAACTCTTTAGTGAAAAAGAACACTGAGGATAAATGGATCATCTTCCAACAAATATTAAAAAGGTACATTTCTCAGTATGTACCGTTGGGAAATAAATATAAAAGAAACAAATTAAAACCAATGTGGCTTAGTAGAGAAGTAAAACAAGAGATTACAACTAAGAGAAGGGCATTTAAAGCATTTAAATCGGACAAATCAGATGCATCTTATAAAAGATATAAGGATGCAAATAATGCGTGCAAAAAGGCAATTAGACTTGCTAAACTTCAAAATGAAATAATGATAGCTGAAGAGAGCAAAACCAACCCCAAAGCATTTTTTAAGTACATAAATTCTAAAAAAAAAACAAAATGAAAGTGTAGGTACACTAAAAACTGAAACGGGGGTGTTAATTAATGAAGACCAGGAAAAGGCAGGAATTTTAAATAACTATTTCTCCTCCGTATATATTAAGGAAGAACCCATGGCAATAGATGTGCAAATGATTGCTACTAAAAACTTGCAGAATAATTGTAATTGGTTAACTCAAGACAAGGTGCTGCAGCAACTAAAGAAAGTTAATATAAACAAAGCTCCAGGGCCTGACGGTATCCATCCACGTGTACTTAAGGAACTAAGTGCAGAAATAAGTGAACCTCTGTTTTT